GGGTACAAAGTGACGTTATATTTACACAATGTGGGATGATTGAATCAAGCTAATTAACACATCCATCACCTTGAACACTTACTTTGTTTGTGGTGAGAACATTTGGAAGTTACTGTCTTCGCAATTCTGAAATACACATTGTTTCTAACTATAGTCGCCCTGCTGTGCAAGAGATCCCCAAACTTATTTCTCCTGAGACTGTGCTCCCTCTGACCACCCCCACCCCCTCCTTCCCCGTCTCCCAGCCTCTGGTCACCACCATCCTACTCCCTTCTTCTCTAAGTGCAACTGTTTCAGATTCCACATACAAGTGAGGTCACGTGGCATTTATCCTTCTGTGCCTTGCTTATTCATTTAGCACAATGTCCTCCAGGTTCATCTGTATTGCCAGAAATGACAGGATTCCCTTCTTTCTTAAGGCTGAATGGTATTCCACTGTGAATCTACACCACGTTTTCTTTATCCATTCATTTGTTGGTGGACACTTAAGTTGTTTCCGTATCTTGGCTATTGTGAATAATGCTGCCATGAACGTGAGAGTGTAGATACCTCTTTGACATACTGATTACTTTCTCTTTTTTCTTTTAGAGACAGGATCTTTCTCTGTCACGCAGGCTGGAGTGCAGTGGTGCAATTAAAGCTCACCAGCCTGGACTCCTGGGCTCAAGGGATCTTCCTGCCTCAGCTTTCCGAGTAGCTAGAACTACAGGTGCGTGCCTCCATGCCCGCTTAATTTTTAAATTTTTTGTAGAGATGGGGTCTCACTGTGTTGCCTAGGCTGGTCTTGAATTCCTGGCCTCAAGTGATCCTCCCACCTCGGCCTCCCTAAGTGCTGGAATTACAGGTGTGAGCCATCACGCCTGGAACATAACAATTTAAAATCCTTTGGGCATATACCCAGAGGTAGGATTGCTGAATCATACGATAATTCTACTTTTAGTTTCTCGAGGAATCTCTTCCCTGTTTCTCCACCATTTTTACCTTTGTAATTCATACGTAATCTTCGGTGAGGTACTTAAAAGATTTATGCAAGTACATCGTTTTCACCTACCAGTTTCAGCACCTACTGATGGCTTCTCTAACCTCATCATTTCTTCATTTATTGGTTCACTTTTATCATTTGTTGTTGGTGATCTATTGTGAAGGAGAGCTCTACCTGTTTCCATTTCAATACAATTGAATACATAAATTATTTGTGTCACTATAGACTCGTGGGTTTTCCATTCGAGGATAATCCGTTCATACTATTGTTCCGATGAGTAAATTGTCCCGGATTTGGTGAGCGGGAGCTGATTCATTCAGTCTCCTCGTTCCGCGTGCTGTGTCCGCCTTATTCTTTAAGCACTTGGCTACTTTCTGGCACAAGATGTTCCAGTCTCATATTGTACATGCCCAGCACCGACTGTGGAATCAACCCTTTTTCTAAAGATTTTTGGTTCATTTTAGTGAAGAATGATATTAATATTTAGAAAACACTACCTGGGTGCCCAGTGTGCTTATTGTTTCTGTGATGCCATTGCTTCTAGAGGTAGCACAAAGAGCTAGGAAAGACACATGTGTGCATCTGTACACACATTTGTGTCCATCTGTCTACCATCATGAGTACACACATGCAGTCTCGAACTCCTGGCCTCAAATGATCCTCCCATCTCAGCCTCCCAAAGTGCCAGGATTATAGGCATGAGCCACCGTGCTGACCCAGTTTCTCCAATCTCAACCCACCACAGGGTGTCTTCTACTCACCTCCTTTCTGCCTTTGTAATTCCATTCCCCGACAGTGGGAAGGCTGGCTCCCATTACTCTCCAGTGTAGTTACTCATTTCTTCAAGTCGAGAATACACAGAAGGTAGTTTCAAAATTGCTAACTATAATGCTGTAAAAAGAAAACCCACTAAATTGAAGTTCATTACTTGTTCCTTTTTTTAAAAAGGTAAGTTTGCACCCAGTGAAATGCATACGTTTTATGCATAGGATTGAGTGAGTTTTGACAAAGGCAGGCACCCGTGTAACCGCATCCCCAACTAGAGACAGAACGTTATATCATCTCAGAAAGTTCCTTTTTGCTCCCTGAAGTCGGTATGTTGAAGAGACATCTGCACCCCCATGCTTATTTGCAGCACTGTTCATAATGGCCAAGATACGGAATCAACCCGAGTGTCTATCAGCAGATGAATGGATAAAGAAAATGTGAGATATACACACACAATGGATGCTACTCAACCTTACAAAAAGAAGAAAATTCCAGCATTTTTCTCTACCCATCTTTCTGACTGAGAAACTGAGAGGCAGAAATGATGCAATGTGGCCAGAGGCACAAGATAGAATTAATACCAACAAGAGTGACAAAAAACCTAGCAGACTGGATTGGTGTGGTGCAGTTTGGGAGTCCCTGAGACTACCCTCCGATTCGGTGACTCACAGGAAGGACTCAGAACTCAGCAGAACTGTTTCACCCATGGTTGCAGCTGACTATAGCAAAAGAATACAGATTAAAACCAGTGGAGGGAAGAGGCGCAGAGGCAGGGTCCAGGAGAGACCAGGTGCAAGTTCAGCTGCCCTCTCCCAGTGGAGTTGCACGGACAGAGCTTACTTCTTTCAGCAACAATGTGTCCCTATGCACGCCAAGCAGGGAAGCTCAGCCGAGCTTTGGTGTCCAGGTTTTTACTGGAGGCTGGTCATGAAGGCGGCTGATTTTG